AAGCTGAAGAAGTCCATGCCTAGGATGTCACATGTCACAGACTGCGGAAAAGTAAAGGCAAATACCTTGAACGCAACTAGAGGAAACCAGTATATTACTCACAGGAAATAAGAATTTGATTATTAATTTCTTATCAGAAACCATGGAGATTACAAAAAGTAAAACAATATTCTTACAGTGTTGAGAAAAAACAAATTGTTAATCCAGAATTCGATGTCCATTGTGACTAGTTTACCTTCATTTCTGAAGGATATTAGGATTGTCTCAATGAAATGAAAATGAGAACAAAAAGAATTATAAAGGGAAACTCTTCAGACAGAAAGAAATGGCACTGGATGGCCATCAGAAATAAAGTCAGAGCAATAGAAACGGAAAATAACTGGGTGATATAATAGAATGTTCTCTTGAGCTCTCTAAGGTGTGTTTTATAGTTGAAAGCAAACATTAATGATATTCTGGGATAGGGTTTTCAGAGTAATATAGTATATGACAATGGTGAGATAGAGATGGCAAATGGAGGCTGTGTGTCCTGGTGAAGTTTCTGCATGCCACTTGAAATGGTAAGATGTTATTTTTAAGTATACTGTGAAAAGTTATGTATATTGAAATCTTTCTGAGAAACCACTAAAAAAAAGAACTGCACAAAAAGAAATAGTCAAGGGGTTGGGGCTCAGTGGTTGAGTGCCGCCTAGCATGTGTGAGGCTCTGGGTTTGATCCTCAGCACACATAAAAATAAACAAAATATTGTGTCCATCTACAACTAAAACAAAATTTAAAAAAATAGTCAAAACAAATTAAAATGAAGTAATTACAAGAAAGAGGAAATGGGAGTATAAAGGGAACAATTGGAAAACCAATAATAAAATGCTAAATCTAAATCTGAACATAATAGTAATTACATGAAGGGTAACTAGTCTCAACACACCCCATTAAAAGATTTTGGGCTTTTGAGGTGGGCAGTTCTAGGGTGAATCCTATGTGCCATTTACTAGTATCTGTGGCCTTGTGCAGGAAACCTGGCCCCTCTGAGCTTCATGTATAAAATGCAGAAAATAACTAGGTTCAGTCAGGGCTGCAGTGAGGACGGGACTGTGTGTACAGGGAACTCGGCACATTGGTTTGTTTCAAAAGTAGCAGAGATGCATATTTGCACAGATGCAGAGTATCTTTGGAAGAACATACAAGAAACTGGTATTGTCTGGGTGGGCTGGGTTACAAGAGTAGGAGGGGGAATTTTAGTTATTACAGATCCATAATCTCTTGTCCACAATTTTGAAATCAAAAAAGCTCTTAAAACCAAAAGTTTATTTTGCTTGGTATCAAAACTTTTTGATGGGGCTGGGGTTGTGGTTCAGTGGTAGAGCGCTCGCCTAGCATGCATGAGGCTCTGGGTTTGATTTTCAGTACCATATAATATAAAATAAAGATATTGCGTCCACCTAAAAAACTAAAAAATAAATATAAAAAAAAAAACCCTTACCGTTGGCAAAACCTAACCTGAAGTGGATGAAATTCTTTATCTCCAGTAATCCCACTTAAATGTGAATATTCATTCATTCATTTTGGAGAAATATTAGCATATTGGTTACAGGGCCCTTCTTAGAAGTAATAAACAAAATATGTTGGTAGTCCCATCTGACCTTTCCAAAATACAGGGAAAAATTCTGAATTTCAAAACATCTGACCCAAAATGATGAACCTTTGTATCCTCCTTTTTTATTCATGAATTTTGACACTGGGGAATGCATTACCTATTCAGAAAACTGAATCTGAACAATCCTTCTTTCAGAAACTAAATTTTAAAAAACTAACACAGGGTCTGACACAAGCTCACAGTAAATAGCAGGACTGCTGTTAGCCCATCCTCATAGGCCTTTCCCGCCAACCAGAAACCGAGGCTTACTGTCATGGCGGCCTCTTGTGCACTGCTAGATTTTGTATTTTAAAGATGAGAGGCAGAGGTTTTGTGACAAGCTTCTGCTGGAAAAACCCAAAGTCCAGAACATCCTTCTTGCTCCCAGTCCCTAGTCCTTTCAGCTGAACTTTCATGCCCCAGGGAGGCTTATTCTTTTGATATAAAAGGGCTGCTCCTTGGGAGGGAATCCTGTGTCTTCCAGATCACCCTCCACCCACTCCCTGAGGAGAGGGGCCGCTTTGGCAGCCAGGACACCCTGCCCCAGAGGACCCCGCCATTCCTCAGTGGCTAGTTTCCTCAGTCCTTCAGTTGATTTCCGGAGCCAGGGATTGAGCTCAACTACCATATACCAAAAAAAAAAAAAAAGAGAGAGAGAGAGAGAAAATTTAAATCCCTAGAGTCTCAATCAGCACACCTAGAACCAAGATTTGGCCAAAAGAGCTGTGGAGAGGAAGAGGAATCTTGGGTGTCATTTATTTCCAATGGGTTCTAAGCATACGCACCGTGAGTTCCCAGAAGTGTGCATGTGTTGCAGTGAGACTGTTGTGAACAGAATATGCTGTGACAATTTTGAGTGCGCAGATGGCTGCAGTGGGCCTTGTGGTGCCCCTCCAGCCTTCCTTGTTGTGTTTCTGCGTTTTTCATTCTCTGTGGTCAGAGAAAAATGAAAATGGCTTCCTATTTCAGAAACAGACTCTTTCCCCAGGCATTTTAACAACCATCCAGAGCCCTGTGTCCGCTGCCCTGTAGGGGGCACTTTGTGGAGCTAGATAAGATGCTTGCTGCCCACAGGTACCACCTGGCCTGTCCCCAGAGAGGCCCATGATGTTGGAGGCCACTAGAAACCACGACTTCCGGCTCCATGAGCCCTGGCTGGCGGGCAGTAACCTGGGTCAGGAAGGGTTCCTTTCCTTGGAATCCTGGCCCTGTTCCACCCAGACTTCCATATCCTCTCCAGCCCTCTGGTGGAGCTGACTGGAGAAGCACTTATTTTGGATTTCTTCTCTAGTTAGTGGCTTCTTACCTGTAAGCTTAGATTAGCTGCTGTTCAGCAAGCTTTCCAGTTCTGGCAGGAACCACTGGCCCCAGAGTGTCAGATTTGTGTTGCTCACCAGGGCTCTGAGCAGACTCCAAAGCACGCATTTTAAAATACTAAACCTTCTTTTGTTTTATTACATTCATCTTCATATCCTTTATGGGAAATATAAAGAAGAACCTGACCCCCAGAGCGACTGCCACTGGTCACACTTGCAGCACGCTCCTTTCTAGTTTTATTCACACCTGTTGTCCCCTCCCCGTCCCCACGCACTTTTCTCAGTTGTTCCCTGGGCTCTGGATGATCTCTCCCCCCCACACTTGGGCCTCGAGCATGAGCATTTTCTACATAATTTTTAAAGCATTCTGGGAACATTGTTTCTCTTGTTTCCATGGCTGCATAGAGGGATAGACGGTGCTGGACCTAACTGGTCCCCAGGGAGGCCGATTCCAGTTTCCCTGATGAGGTCTTCATGGATGCATTTTAACGGGAATGCTTATTCCTTCCTCAAGGTGGACACCTAGGTGTAAAATTATTGGATCAAAGAATGTGAAGATACGTACGACTATGAAAGAGGGATGCCATTTTGTGTCGGGGTAGAAGAGCTGTGGGGTTGCTCTAAGAAAGTGTCCCCTCATTTCTCCTCCACTTCGTCATGCACTCTCAGAGAAGGAGGAAGTGGGTACCTTGCTTCCTCCAAGGAAGAGGGGAGAGGTTTGTAGGCTGTGCTTCTCCTGTGGGGAGGGCGCAGAGCAGGCCCGCAGCACACGGGGCACTGAAGCTCCACGCAAGGGCCGTGATGGAGAGAAGGCTGAGACACACTGCGTGGCCTGGCACTGTGCTGCCCTCCCTCTCCACCTGGGAAGCTCTTCAGTCTTAACTTTGTGATTTTATTTTTTTTTATTTTTTATTTATTTATTTTTTTTTTGGTCTGAAACAATTTATTAAGAAACAACTCAGAAGAATGGGAGAAAGGACAGAGGAGCAGGCAGGGGAGTGTCCCAGGGAGAACAGTCTCTGATGTCTTCTGCAGGTGGGGGCAGAGGAGACTTCTGATGTCCAGGTAGAGGCAGAAGTGCTCTCAGCTAAAACCTGGGCAGAGGAACCTGAGGTAGTTGGCACATGTTGCTCCTGCAGTTGTTCAGAGTCCACATGACTGATGCCCATGCAAGGTATCAAGATTACAGAGCACAGGTCCTCTGGCTATGTACTGGTTCATTCTGTTATAACCTCTCCCCTTCATTGGAGCCATACCCTATGAATCTGGCAGGTTTCTGCCCTCTTATATTGGAGCCACCTTACTGCTGACCCATGGCATGCAACAGTACAGTTGTCGCACAAGGGAAGCAATCCTACCAGTCACCCACTTCCAGAACTTTCCATTGGCATGGGGTTGCTCAGAGTCAATCTGAGAGGTTAAATCAGGTGTGGGTGTCCTTGCAGGCAAACTGTGATTTTAGTGTTTGGTTTTTGAGCAATATTTTTCTGGTGTAAAAGTTCTTGGTTCTTTATACAAAGTTTAAAAACTTGGAAGAAGGTGTGGATAAAATAGTGTATCTGGAGGTCGCCCCTATTAAAATATATCTTTACCTAGAACTAAGATCCTGGCTGGGTGTGGCAGTGCACACTTATAATCACAGTTATTTGGGAGGCTGGGGCAAGAGGATATCTCAAGTTCAAGGACAGCTTGGGCAACTTACCAAGACCCTGTCTCAAAATCAAAAGGCTTGGGGTGTAGTTCAATGGTAAAGCACCCTGGGGTTCAATTCCCAGGATAGCAAAAGGGGGAAAAAAAATGAACTGGATCCTCCATGTTGCCGGCTTTTGTTCAGCTCTTCGCACATAATGGTCTTATGATAATGGTTGGTGTCAACCTGTGCCAGGGACCACTTGGAAATATCTCGTCTTGTGGTCTTATGCAGGTGTCGCCCCTGTCCCCTGGGGCTAGGAATGCATTTGCAGACCCAAAAGCATCAGGGTCAGGCCCCTGGGAGCCCAGGCACCTGGCTGATCTGGGACTTGTGCTAATTGTCCCTTGTTTGTTTCAGGTGTGATCCCCTGGGCCCATTTGCTGTCGGGGGAGAAGACCTAGACCCTTTTGGGTGAGTATGCTCGGGAGGTGGCAGCAGCGTCAGTTGCTCTTGTGGCTTTGAGCCCTAGCTCATCTTCTAATCTTAGAACTTTTTGTCAGTCTCTCCTTCGGGGTGAAGGAGGCAGTTGCTGCCAGGCAGCTGAGAAGGCACTGCCACTGAGGTGCTCTCCAACCCAGGGCTGCACAGCAGGGCCTGAGTGCCGGAGAGGACGGGGCAAGCCCAGCAGGCAGCTCTTCTGTCCTCTGTCCCCTGCACTTGGTGGGAGACAGTAGCCTTCCTTTGGATGCCAGCTACACAGGGTCTTTCAGATCTGGGTTAAGCACCAGTGGGGCCCAGACCTTAGGTGCTCAGGGCTACGGGGATGGCACCTCCCTGTGGAAGGGAAGTCTCTGGGCCCCGTTAGATTCTGTGTGGGTCGCCTTGCACCCAGCAGAATTATCACGCCCCAGCCAGGCTCCATCCTCTGCATGATTGAGACTAGCTCTTAACCTCACAGAAAGGTGACTTCATCTTTGTCATCCTGCTGGTGGAGAGTAGGGAGATCATGGAACTCTGCAGTGCCACTCAGATGTGACTGCAGGATTAAGGAGCACCAGCTCATTCCTCCTCATTTGAGCACATGAGGTCATGTCTGCAGAACTCCGCGAGGGCAGGTGCCGTCAGGAGCTGGACTTGGGCAGCCCACAGGCAGTGAGAAATTACCCTATGGCTCTCGGGGACGAGGTGGGAAACCCAGCTTGGTGAATCGTCTCGATGCTGCAGTTAGCCCTAGACCTTGGGGAGTGCCTCCCAGAGCCTGTGCAGACAGCTGTGCACCAACTGGCCAGTTCTTCTCCCATTCTCCATCACGGTGACCCCGGGATACAGACAGGCAGGGACAGGGAGCCCTCCGCGTCTTCCTGCACTGTCTCCAGCCCCTCCGCAGGGCAGGGGTGCTCTTTGTGGGCTTGCTTTTGCCTGCTTCCTTCTGACTGGCGCGGCCTGCTGGGGCACCTGGAGTAGACCTCCCAGTCATCCTCGTCTATTCTGCACCTCCTGGCTCTGTGCCAAGGGCAGTCCCTGCCTCAGCTGCTTACCTTTGTCCTTTCTGCCTCAGGTGTCGGAGAGGTGGCATGGTTGTGGATCCCCTGAGATCCGGTTTCCCGAGAGCTCTTATTGACCCATCTTCAGGCCTCCCAAACCGTCTTCCTCCAGGCGCTGTGCCCCCAGGAGCTCGCTTTGACCCCTTTGGGCCCATTGGGACCAGCCCATCTGGGTAAGTATGTGCTCAGGTGTGCTGAGAATCGACCTCATGGCAGCTTAGCCCGGCTCAGCATTGCAGGATTGACGCCAGCAGGATTGCACTACCCCTGCTGCTGCTGCCAGGAGCGTGGGCTCTCCTCCAGGCCCTGCCCGCTGCCTTCCGGGAGCCTCCAGGAGTTACCTTCCCTCTGTGCCGCTGTGCCTCCCTTCCCTCCAGGGAGCTCTCAGGGTGCAGGAGGAACTAACACGAAGTGCAGTTCAACATGTTCCTGGAGCTCACTGGCCGCTGTGGCAGTGGTCCTGGTAGAGAGTACTGTCCACTCTATAGATGTGAGAGTTGAGACCCCAGGGCTCGGTTAACTTAGCCAGCTTAGGAGAGCCAGGATGGAAATGGAGGCTGCTGGCTGTAACGTGCACGCTCTTCAACTCCACAGCCACTTGTCTCTCTGGAGAGCCCGCAGGTGAGGGGTGTGTGGCCTCGGCCCTCCCTCCCTCTAACTCACCAGCCCCTCTTTCCATTTCAGACCGAACCCAGACCATCTCCCCCCGCCGGGCTTCGATGACATGTACCTGTGAAGGCCTCAAGAATGTAACATCCCAGCCTCCCCTCCACTCTCCTGGAGCTGCCATCGCCGGCCCCACCAGCAACCGTGTTCTTGCGGGCTGGGGGCAAAGGACTCTGCCCATGTGTTTGCAGGCTGGCTGGGATTGCCTCCCCGACCCTTATCAGAGCCAAGGTACAGCAGCCCTCCACCTGGCTGCACATAGGTCCCAAAGAGAAATCAGCGTGTCTCTCCCACCACCAGAGAGACTCCGGCAACATACACCCTCCACCTGATGCTATAAGAACAGAACGCATTTTGGATGTTATTATTGAGAACCAAATGTCAATACAGAGTCCGTGTTGCCAGTCTCCCACTTTTCTTTCTACATTAATGCATAGCTCCTTCCAGTTTTGAGAATTTAGGCTCTGAGACTATAGGACTGAATAGCTCCTCCCATCTGAACCCATTCTTCTCGACCTCCCCTTTCATGTCACTGTTGCTCCTGACGTTACTGAGATGAATCTAGCTACATGGATGGCAGTGAGTGACTGTAATTCCCATAGGTCACAAGGATGACTCTCACAAGGACAGGCACGTTGTGCAAAGACTGTATATCATTGTGATGAGAGCAAAATCTCCTGGCCATTCCTGTTCTGGGCCAACCCTCTGGATCGCCTGGGCCTGGACAGCAGTGGCCTATAAGCAGAGGAATAAACAGAATTTAATCACATTTTGCCCCATAACTTACTGAGTGATCGGAAGGAAATCCCTTCTTTAGGGCCTTGTCCCCACCTGTGAAATTAGAGGTGCCTTTGCTGCTCTCCGATATTCTGGTCTCTTTCCATGAGTGGCCACAACCCCTAGGATTGGGCAAAGGAAAAGAGTGAAAGCTCGAGGTTTGTGTGGCATCTGTAACGGTATTATTTACCCCTCTGGGGACCCAGACAAAGCATAGGAGAATGGGCTCCATCCAAATGTGGCCTCGAACTTTGGGAGGAGCAGGGAGCCCCAGCCTCTGGAAACTGTGTGCTATGTCCTGTGTCTGGCCCTCCTGACCTCTGCCGTTCGCCAGATCCTCTGAAGCTGGAGCCCGACGGGCGTGTGTGGGGCTGAGGCTGGTGCTGCAGTGGGAAGAGCACCAGAGAGCACAGGCGGAGGCACGAGGTCAAGGCCCCATGCACTTTGTGCAGCCAGTATTTCAACATGCCTGGGTCGCTTTCCCTAAATTAGGACATGTCACTCCCCTGTAGACAGCAGCTGGACACTGTAGCTTTTCTGAGGTGTCAGCTAGGCTGGCTTTTGTGGCCTAAGATTCCCTGTCTGCTTAGCCCCAAAATGGGTAGGGTAAACCACTGACCAGCCCAGGAGGGCCAGCCTCAGGTCGAGGTAGAGGCTGGCCTGGGTGGGCAGGCTCGCATGAGCAGGTACCCTGGTATTTCTAGCAAGCCCCACTATGTGCATTGACAAAGTAAAAGACCCCAGAGACAGGGAGCTGACCACTTTGAAGTCTTTAAAACATCTCCGCTATTAGGAAAGACGCAGGTATCAGGCAAAGATGTAATCACCATCATTGCTCATAGTCTTCCTTAGGGTTGGCAGATGGGAATGTTCGTTTTTGTTTTGGAATTGGACCATACCTGCAACCAAGGGGCTTGGAGCACTTTGGTCATAAAACTACAACAGCGCCAGGCATGGTGGCACATGTAATCCCAGCAGCTCAGGAGGCTGAGGCAGGAGGATCACAAGACCATAGGAGAATGGACTCCATCAAGATGTGGTCTCAAACTTTGGGAGGAGCAGGGAGCCCCAAGCAATTCAGTGAGACCCTGTCTCTAAATAAAATACAAAATAGGCTGGGTATGTGGCTCAGTGGTCGAGTGCCCCTAATTCAATCCCCGGAACCCAAAAGAAAACAAAAACCCTACAACAGCACCAGGTGTGGTGGCACACGCCTTTACAGCAGCTCAGGAGACTGGGGCAGGAGGATTGTGAGTTCATACCAGCCTCAGCAACTTAGCAAGGCTCTAAGCAACTCGGTGAGGCCCTGTCTCCAAATAAAATAGGAAAAAGGGCTGGGGCTGGGGCTCAGCGGTTAAGTGCTCCTGGGTTCAATTCCTGGTACCAAAAAATGCCGCAGTCTGGCTGGGCACAATTCAGGAGCCACTTGTCAAAAGAAACGAACTTTATTTTTAGAACCACACACACACACACCACACCACACAGCTCCTCAGGAAAAACCCTCAGAGCCAACTGCCACCACCAGCTTCCCACAAGCCTCTCAACCTCCCCCACTCCTCCTGTTCTGGAGGCTGATTGGCTGGGTTGCATGGTCAGAGCCAAAAAAAAGTCCCCCAATGAGCAGCTCTGTGGTCTGAAAGGGCGGGGAAACAGCCCAATGAGCATCACCGCAGAGGAGCCAATCAGTTGGCAGCTAGAAGTTTGCTGGGGCCCCTTCGGCTGTGGCTCTCAAAAAAAAAAAAAAAAATGCAGCAACAATCATTGAGAGAAACATTTAAAGAAACATCAGACACAGGGAAAGTAGATAACTTAGGGCCCTGATTCAAGGAAAAGGTAAATTTAAAACAAATTTGCCATTTCTTAATAGTGTACATAATTCTGTTTTCTAAAAAGAGAAAATTTAGTGATTCATCTACAGAACTGGCCATTTAGTGTGGATCTCCTTGTATCAAGGATACAAGGAGCACCGACAGTGTCCTAGATGTCACGTGGGGGGAGTGAACAGGACCGTGAGGAACTTCCTAGTCAAGCTTTTGGAGCTTGTTCTGTTCTGGGCCACTCTTCTAACCATGGAAAAACCACACGGAGCAAAGGGAATGTTTTAGTGTGTATCTTACAGAACCTTCAAAATTGGAACCTGAACAATAAACATCAGCCATTAATAATAACCTGTTCCTCTTTATTTTTTTTTAAATAACAGCTTTATTGAGAATTCACATACCCCCAAAGTTTACCCTTTCCAAGGTCAGCGGGCTGTAGTATATTCACAGTGCGTATCATCGCCGTATCTAATTCCTGAATATTTTCACCATTACCACCCCCCAGGCCCCATAAACTTTAGCAGTCACCCCCATTTCCTCCCTCCCAGTACCAGGCAACCACTAGTTTATCTTCTGTCTCTAAAGACTTGCCTTTTCTGGACAAGTCACTCAACATGTGGCCTTTTGTGTCCGGCTTCTTTCACGTAGCACAGTGTTTGAACACCTATTCGTGTCGTGAAACGTATGGGAACTTCGTTCCTGTTTATGGCTGAATAATCATTGTAAAGATATATCACATTCTGTCTGTTTGCCAGGAGATGGACAGCTGGGTTGCTTCTACTTTTTGGCTATCAGGAATGATGTTGCTATTAAGGCTAGCGTATAGCTTTTGTGCGGTCAGCTGTCCTCAGTGCATTTGGGCCTATACCCAGGGGTGGCATTCTGGACCACCTGCAACACTGTGTTAAACTTTTTGAGAATTGCCAGATGTCTTCCACAGCAGCCCATCATTTCACATTTCCAACGTGAATGAATGACCATCCCAGTTCCTCCGTATCCTCGCCAGCACTTGTTATTCTTCATCTACCTGCTGGTAGCCATCCTAATGGGTGTCAAGTTGGATCTCATGGTTTGTCTTCTGTGTTTTTTAAAACAGAACATTTTGACCCAACCCAAGCAAGGCAGGGCCCAGAGCCACTCACCTTTGGGGAGCAAACTATGGCTTTGATAATAGCCACGCGGGATGACCGTAGCTGGTGAGACAGAGGAGTTGGATTTGACTTTGGGGGATGGTTCCAGGATGGGCATGACACAGGACAGGTCCTTTCTCTAGGGAAGTTCCTGTGACCTTTTCAGATCTAGTGATTGACACCATCACTTTTGCTTGAAATTTCATAGTTGATCCCTAGGATAAAGGTCTGGTTCCAAATCATCCGCTTTGGTGTGCAAGGGCCACAGCCACTGATCCTGTTTTAGGCTGCATCATCCCATGGCCCTGCTCTTCCTTGGCCTCTCTCCTCCCGAGTTCCTGGAGCTGGCCGTGTTTCTCCTTGTTGTTGCCTGCTTGGGCCTGAGACTCTGCCATTGTCCACTGAAAGTTGTGAGTTTATTAAGGCCTCAACCCCAACAGTACACTATGCTCAAAGCGCAGATGGCCGCACTGGTGGCACATTAGGGAATGGGCAGGAAGTCCCACTCAGCCTCACTCTCTGGAACCAGCTTCCCTCCTGCCTCCCTTTCTGTTGTCCTTAATGACAGTTTCTTTGATCTATGCTTCTCTCCACAGGCGGAAATTCAAATCTGGAGCAGTTCCTACTCTCTCCCCTGGTCTTATCGCACTTTGGTGCAGTTCCAATAAAGACAGGTCCCATGATCAAGGAGAGGAGGGATTCCCCATGTGTACCCCCAGCCTTCTCTGCGTCAGAGTCAGTCGGAGGTGCACGCCTAGAGGCCACTTCAACTTTTATGCTCCAGTGCAGAGACTTGCCTGCGGGATCCCATCCCCAGGCTTTGTTTGCCTTTGGGATCCCACAACGCGGTTGCACTGGGTATGACCCTGAGGGAGGGTCAGAAGGCAAGGGTGGGCAGTGAAGGGTGGCAAGGTCCTGGTGACTGAAGACAGACACTGCAGAGCCAGAAGCAGCAACGACAGGAAGTAGGAGCACCCTCTGGCAGCAGCCGGCGCTGGTGGGAGGTGCTTAGAGAACACCTGCTGATGGCAGTCTAGCAGGACCCTGGGTGGCCACAAGACCCTGGGTGGCCACGCTGATGGTTTTGTTACAGGTGAGCCGTGGAAGGCGAGTGCGAGTGCGTGAGAATCACAGTGTGATGGAGTTCAGAGGGACAGGGAGTAGGAGGGTCCTGTTCAAGTGCTGGTCCTGGGTTTCAGCTGCATAAGCGATTTAGCTTTTTAACCCAAAGTTTGGGGCCAGGATCCACATCATCATTGCCTTTATCTGAAGAGTGGGAACTCCAGAGCCACACAGCCACTGCCTCCACCTGCACCAGAAAGTGGGTAGCCTTCCTACCACCACCTCAGTCCCACTCAGCTCAGTTCCGAGCTCAAGGCTCAACTGAATGAATGCATCTGGTTGTTGGAACCTACTTCACCTCTCAGACCCTAACAGCCAGGGATCCTAGGAAAATGCCCTTGTTCTCTCTTCCCACCTCTGCATTCCGGAAGATGAAACTGGGACAAATGTCTGGTGAGCCCACCTCCTGTGATCATCAGCACAGGCCATGACATAAATGGGGACTACAACCTTGCTTGCCCAAGCCTGTCTCCTGAGACCTTTGTTCTAAGTACACTTACATCCCAAGTCCCCATCCACACCACCAAAGGAGGGCCTTCAAATCTGTTTTTTTTTTTTTTTTAACCACAAATCCTCTTGTGATTCATGGGATCATGCAAGTTTGAGAACTAGGACAGGAAGACTGTCTACATCCTTACTACTAAGCAGCAGCAGAGACGACATTTCCTGAGAACTTGTTAGAAGTTTAGCATTTCCGGCCTCGCCCCAGACTCAACTGAATGAGGATCTGCGTTTTAACAAGTCCTCCATGTGATTCATATGCACACTAAAGTTTAAGAAACTCAAGTGTACAAACTTTGTTCTTTTCCTTCCTCTGGATATCACAAGTAAAGAATTGAGTCACTCAGTCTTCTTGATTGATGGCACGTAATGATTAATGCACACAAGTAACCCCAGTATCCATTCATCCCTTATCCTAT